GCTATAGCCATGGCTTTCTTTTCTCACATTACTGTGAAGTCTTTTTGGAAACACGAACCAAATCATGTCTATATGATTAACTAACTTTTCGATAAGTGCATTTCCCCCCTTTATTTAGCAATTTAAAGCTACTAAATATAACTATGATTTTCAGGTAATATAATAAAATTTAGATACAGCTATAAAAATTAATCTTATCAATCTGCAGAACATTTTATAAAACTGTCAGATAATAAATCTTTCTTAAATTTATTAAAATGTATTCATTTTAGAAGTGCTTTATTTGTAAATCTGGGAAATAGCACCATTTCTTTATTTTCAGGTTTACCTGTTCCAGTAATGTGATACTGATGCAAATTTCTAAATTAACACACCTAGGCGATTTTTTTACTTGCAAACTGATATCTTAAGATTTAATTTGTGTTTGTGTGTTTGTATTCCCGTGTTTGTAAGGACTTTCAGTGCATGAATAATTTTCAGTAAAAGTCATTAAAATTATGGCATTTTGTATTCTCCCCCAGTCACATAGGATGCTACTTCTCACAATCAGGCTGAGGCAATCTCACACCAGTCATAAATACGTTCACATTACTCTTTCATTGCTGGACTTTCTTGCATAGAGTGTGACCTGACTGCCACCATAGACAGAGTTATGAATTCCACTCAGCAAAAGCTCCCTGTTTAACCCATTGGGAAAAATGAAAAAAGTATTAATCATTTTTGTACGTTTTTGCTGCACGTCTTTTGGCAAGAATGGAGGTATATACCATAAATCTCTTTGGCGATCTATTTTACTTCATGAGGAACAATATGCTAGACAGAATTAGTGAAGTATAGTAAAACTTGGCAAAAATGAGTGACTTGTGTGCCTGGATTAGGAAACACCATAAAGAAATGAAAAGAGCCATCACTTTTCTGTTACAGTCGCAAGTGACAGTTCCAGAGGGGACCTTCTAACTGGGACTTTGAGCAGAATAAAGAAAAGCAAGCTTGGCTTCTGTCCTGTCGGGCAAATGGAAACACAGAGAACACACGCCTATCCATAGCGATGGGGAGGAGTTTACAAAGGGAAGAGCCAGCCTCCTGGGGGCGCTGCGTGGGTCACACATCACGTTCATAAGCCTCCTTTCAGCAGCAAAGCTTCTGCCAGTTTTCTGAGTAATGCAAAAATACTGAAATGCCACCGCCACCACCACATCACGGCTTCCCTGTTCTGTGACACATCAACAAACCTAACTGTGACACTTCAGTACTTACAGCTTTTTTTGTTTGCTTTTGTTTTTGGGGAGAGGATCTCACTCTGTTGCCCAGGCTGTAGTGCAGTGGTGCCTTGATAGCTCACTGCAGCCTCCAGCTCCTGGGCTTGAGTGATTCTCCCATCTCAGCCTCCCAAGTAGCTGGGGCTACAGGCGGGGGCCACCATACCTGGCCAATTAAAAAGAAACTGTAGACACAGCCGTAAAAGAGAATGAAATCATATCCTTTGCTCAGCATGGATACAAATAAAGGCCATTATCCTGAGTTAATGAAGGAACAGTAAACCAAACACCGTATGTTCCCACTTATAAGTGGGAGCTAAACCCTGGGTACTTACAGTCATAAAGATGACAACAATAGATGCTGGGGACTACTAGTACCCAGTGGAAGGGAGGGTGGGGGTGAGGGTTGAAAAACTACCGAGTACTATGTTCAGTACATTGGTGATGGGCTAAATAGTACCCCAAACCCCAGCATCATGCAGTGTACCCAGGTAACAAACGTGCACATGTACCCTCTGAATCTAGGGTAAAGATATAGGTATATCTTTCTATATAAGACTATAAAGAAATTAAAGTAAATGTTTATCTGTGGAGATGAAGCCTCGCTAGGATTTCCAGGCTGGTCTCAAACTGCTGGCCTGGAGGAACCGTTTTGCCTGGGCCTCCCAAAGTACTTGAATTAAAGGCATGAGTCAGTGCAACTGCCCATACTTACAGCTTTAACTCTACATTTCTCTAAAACAAATAAGGATTCATTTTATCTCACAATTATTTATTTATAATAGACGTAGAGCACATTGGGGGAAGCTGCTTTTCCAGTTAGAGTGGCTTCTCAGAAACATTGTTCATATGAAAATGTGTCTGCTCTGAAGAGATGCAACGAGGTAAGTGATTATTAAAATCTGTTTATTTGTTAGTAGAAATCCTAGAGTCAAAAATGTAACAGACAAGGTAAATCCGAGGAAATTAAATGTTACTACTCAAAAGGTTCGTCACAGAAATGAACAGTCCCTTTTAACAGTTGTGCCTCTTGCCTGCATGCCTAGGCGTCTGGATTCCAACACCCTGCTTTGTGACTGTGATCTGATGTGGCTGGGGGAGCTTTTACAAGGCTATGCCCATCACGGACACACTCAGGCTGCGGCCACCTGTGAATACCCCAGGAGACTCCGTGGGCGAGCAGTTGCTTCAGTAACAGTCGAGGAGTTCAATTGCCGTATGTAAATTTCGATGTGTGCATAAGATAGAAATATCTCTCATTTACTCTCTTTCTGTAAAGGTTTATTATACAGTATTGCATTTTAGAAGAGTGTGTTATCTGGAAGTGTTTGTTAGGAATGTGATAAAAGTATGGCCAATTTCCTTTCCATCAGCTGCATTTTCATTTAAAGAAGTTTTTATCAACATAAACTGTAAGAGCTGAGAGAGTCTTTGAGGAACACTTAATCTAATTCCCATAACTTCAGAGGAGGAATATTGAGAAAGCCGATTTTCAACAAGGTCACCAGAAGTGGTGTCCATCATTAAAACCTCCACCTATTCCTCGGTATCTGACAGTGTTCATAATCAATAATTTAGGGTTTTCAACTTTAAATCCAATCTTGCTAATAGTAGGTGCTGAGAAAGCCTTTCAGCACACCCAGTAATTGATTTTTTAAATGTATAATGGGACCATGAATATGACCAAAATAATTAATATCGGTTTTACCATTTCTCTGTAAATTTTTAAATAATGCAAACCTTGGATTTAATAAGCATATGGTCATATTCTGATAACCTTACTAAAGCAATAGGCTTTACCTAAATAATTTATGGCTGCTTACAGTATTATTTGACTTGAACTTAAAGCTTTTCATGTGAATATAAGAATATGTCTCTATTACTATATATAGGTTTAAATAGAAATAACTGAATATCTGTGTGTGTGTGTGTGTGTGTGTGTCTGTGATAATTCAGTGTCTTGGAGATTCATTCACATGATTGTTGTAATTATAGCCGAAATTTGCTTTCCACTCTCTCATTGGAAAGCCATTGTTTGAATTTCTCTAAGCAGGTAATTAAAAATCATATCAATATAATTCATTTCTACTCAAATTGAGAAGAAAGTGGAGTTGGTCTTTACTGCCAAAAAATTCTCAAGCTTATCCGTAACTCTCATCTTTACTACTTCTAGTTCAAACCATAGTCAAGTTTTGCTGGACTCTTTTCCATCTTAACTGATATTCCAGCTTTCATTTTTCTTGCTCCTTTATGTTTTGGAAAATTGTTTAAAAGCACATCTTATTACATCATGTTTTGACCCATAACCCTTACGCAGGTTCCTACCTTAAACAGAAGCACAGAGTTCTTCATGTGGCTGACCCATTTTATACGGTGTTTCCCAGCTTCACTGTACTCCTCAATCACTTACTCTTTCTCTTCTCAGTGTCGAGCCACCTCAGTGTGCTTCATTCTTGGAAGTTCATAAGCCTTTCTTCAATCCAAGGACTTTTCACGTGCTGTGTTTCCTGACTACAATATTCTGATTCCAATTCTTTTAATGGTCCTCTTCTTAAATATGAATTACAGGGAAAGCCTTCATTTAAACCCCCTTTTCACTGGCCTACCTATTCTTTCATACAGAATCAGGTCCCTTTTTATAATCCATCAAAACATTGTTTATTTTCCATCTAAGCATTTGTCACATATGTTAATATGTATTTGTGTGTGTGTGTATGTGTGTGTGTCTGTGTGTATGTGTGTGTGTCTGTGTGTATGTGTGTGTATATGTGTGCGTGTATGTGTGTGTGTATGTGTGTATGTGTATGTGTGTGTGTATGTGTGTGTATGTGTATGTGTGTGTGTATGTGTCTGTGTGTATGTGTATGTGTGTGTATATGTGTGCGTGTATGTGTGTGTGTATGTGTGTGTATGTGTGTGTGTATGTGTGTGTGTATGTGTGTGTATGTGTATGTGTGTGTGTATGTGTCTATGTGTATGTGTGTGTGTATATGTGTGTGTGTGTGTATGTTTATTTTCAATTGCTCCAATGAAACTGTAAACCCCTGGGTACAGAGACCTTGTCTGTTTTTGTTTTTTTTTTTTTGAGAAGGAGTCACTCTTGTTACCCAGGCTGGAGTGCAATGGCGCGATCTCAGCTCACCGCAACCTCCGCCTCCTGGGTTCAGGCAATTCTCCTGCCTCAGCCTCCTGAGTAGCTGGGATTATAGGCAGGCGCCAGCTAATTTTTTTGTATTTTGAGTAGAGACGGTGTTTCACCATGTTGACCCCTGGGTACAGAGACCTTGTCTGTTTTAATCACTGTTTCATCGCTACTCCTAGTGCTTTGTCTGGCACATAACTGATGTTGAATTATTTTAAAAAATGCACAAATGGATAAAATTATTTTTCTAAAAAGAATAAAGCCAAGTTATTGATTATATGGACTTTTAAGGAAGTAGGCAAGATTACTAAATATCTACAGAATGTTCTACAGACATAACAGTCATAGTTAATGACATGAAATTTCAAATAATGCACTTAAAAAAGGAAGAGTTTTGTTATTTAGAAAGGTTTAAAAATAATTAGGTGAAACAATGGAAAATTAAAAGTCTCTTTTGTACATTGTTCTATAATTTAAGTTCATTAATATTACCCAATTCATTACATAATCAATCACTCCATCTTCTTCTTTAAATAATTTAAGTGTTTTTATGTTTTATCATTCCATTATTATTGAAGATGGAATAATTCATTTATACAGACAAGGATTTTGCTCAACCATGTTTGCAGTCTAGACATATCACTCCTTATAAATTGTGTAAAGTGGGTGGTTGGGTGCTTAGATGGCTAATTGTATAGAAACAGTGCCTGCAAAATTGCAAGCTCAATTTAAGTATGTGGTTTGAAAAATTGACCCATAAAAGCAAACTCCTTCCATAAATATGGTTGTATTGAGCTCCTGGAAATAAAAGCACAGAAAAACGGACTTAACTTACTTCAATGGAGATTCCCTTGTGCAGTCAATCTTTCAAACTTCTAAAGTTTAAGTCAAATACATGTCTAATGTTTAACCTGGTACATATATTACTGGGTAAATGCAGCTTGATGTGTAACATTTTAATGTAGAAATAAATTTAAATTGTCTATATCTCTTTCTTGACATCTTAGAAGGCCATACTTTTATATCTTTGAAAAATATAATAATAATTATTTTGTTGCAGAGAGCCCCCGAATTACTTTTGAGCCCCAGGATGTGGAGGTACCATCAGGAAATACTGTCTATTTCACCTGCCGGGCAGAAGGAAATCCCAAACCTGAGATTATTTGGATACACAACAAGTAATACTGAGCATGGACATGCATTGTGATTCTCTTTCTGATTTCAGTAATATTTTAAACTCAATTCAATTCCTTTACCTAGAGAAGAAATTACTAAAATTATCAGAGTTTCTTAAAGATCAAATGCCTTTTAACTGTCATCTTTTTACTTGCTCAAGCTATCTAAAATCCTTTTCCTTAAAACTTACACATTTCCGACCTCAGTGTTTCTGAAACTGACTAAACTCATTCTGTATTATTTCTAGAATGAGATGTTGGAATTGATAACAAACCAGTTTGTTTTAAAGCTGAATATAATTTGATATGGCCTCACTAAGTTATTTCAGATCTAAACTGCTACTTCATAGTTGACATTGCAACTTTCCTATGGTAAATCAGTATGGATTATTTAAGTAAACTGGCAACAAATGACATGCAAAATTATTTAAAAGGCTAGTCATTTATTTAATGCTCAGGGGACTGCTTGACAAAACATAAAACCAATGTGTGTGATAATTCAGTGTCTTGGAGATTCACTCACATGATTGCTGTAATTGAGTCCCAAAACCCATGAGTATAAAATTAAATAGTGCTAACAGTCTTTTAAAAAGTTAAATGTGATCATCTTTCTAACTTGCGTGAGATGGTATCTCATTGTGGTTTTGATTTGCATTTCTCTAATGACCAGTGCTGATGAGCCCTTTTTCATATTTTTTTGGTTGCATAAGTGTCTTCTTTTGCAAAGTGTCTGTTCATATCTTTCATCCACTTTTTGATGGGGTTGTTTGTTTTTTTTTCTTGTAAATTTGTTTAAGTTCCTTGTAGATTCTGGGTATTAGCTCTTTGTCAGATGGATAGATTGCAAAGTTTTCCTCCCATTCTGTAGGTTGTCTGTTCACACTGATGATAGTGTCTTTTGCTGTGGAGAAGTTCTTTAGATTAATGAGATCCCATTTGTCATTTTTGGCTTTTATTGACATTGCTTTTGGTGTTTTAGTCAGGAAGTCTTTGCCCATGCCTATGTCCTGAATGGTAGTACCTAGGTTTTCTTCTGGGCTTTTTATGGTTCTAGGTCTTAAGTTTAAGTCGTTAATCCATATCAAGTTAGGTTTTGTGCACAGTGTAAGAAAGGGGTCCAGTTTCAGTTTTCTGCACATGGCTAGCCAGTTTTCCCAACACCCTTTATCAAGTAGGAGATTCACTCACATAATTGCTGTAATCAATCAAGAAGACTGGATCAATCCACAAAAGGGAAGCAGGGATAGATTTAAAAGGCAGAGAAAAGGCTTGGGAAAGAGAAAGCATAAAACAGCTCATCAGAAATAAATTTAAATACGTTCGTGAAAACAATAGTCTATTGAAAGATGGAATATTGAATTTTAAAATTCAGCTATCTGCTATTTACAATAGGTATGTCTGAAACATTATGATACTGAGAGGTGGAAGGTTGATAGGTATGCAAATGTATCGACCAAGTTACACTGATCAAGATAAGGATGATGTAAGAATATTATAGTGTAATCGCGTATCATTAGATCGTACTTAATAAAAAATGCAATTCACCTGAATTTAAAATTCATGAACCTTTATATACCTAACAAAATAGCTGCTGAAGAATAAAACAAGATTGAGAAATTACAGGGATGAATTGACATAAATCCAATTATAGTGAGAATTTTTTTTATTTTACCTTATGTTCTTGGGTACGTGTGCAGATCTTGCAAGATTGTTACATAGATATACATATGCTATGGTAGTTTGCTGCATCCATCCCCCTGTCACCAGCATTAGATATTTCTCCTAATGTTATTTAATACTGCTTTTCCAGAAAGATTAGGAACAAAAATTAGTAGCAAATTCTAAACACAGCTTAGAACACTGACGATATCTGCTACATATAAAGCTCAACCATCCTATCTTTTCAAGCAACTATAGAACACTTAACAACATTGATCACATAAAAAAAACACAATCTACACTTATTGCCAAGAATTAATTTCATAAAAACCCCTTTTTAAAATTATAATTTAAACACATTTTAGAAAACATTAGCTTTTCTCTGCTGCCTCAACAAGACCTGTTATTTTTTGACTTTTTAATGAAAGCCATTTTGTTGAGTGCTAGATGGTGTCTTATTGTGGTTTAGTTTTGCATTTCTCTGATGATTAGTGATGATTGTCAAGATAATTTTAGAGATCCTTTATACTCCTCAGTAGAATAATGAAATCATTGCCAGGACTTCATAAGTAATTTTTAAATAACTGAATAGATTCAAAGATGAGAGAAACCTTCCAGGTTGAGGAAAGAATCATCAAAAGCTCAGAAGGAAAATAAATGAAGGTTAGTTTCAGGAAAGTGTGTGGAGCATATTTGTGAGAGTTAAGGTTTCACCCTGAGGAGAAATAGAAAAAGATTGCATAATATTGGAAAAGTCAGTCACTTTGGCTTTCCATATATGAGCTTTGAGAACCATTAGAAGATGTTGAGCAAGACAACGACTTGGTGGAAAGAGACTTAAAAACCAACCATACTTTTCTATTTCTTTTTCAACTTTTATTGTATATTCTGGGGGTACAAGTGCAGGCTCGTTACAAAGGTATTGCATGAGGCTGAGGTTGGAATACAACCGAACCGTCACCCGAGAAGTGGGCATAGTAACTGACGGGTAGTTTCTCAATCCTTATCGCTCTCCCTACCTCTTCGTTATGTATTCCCTAGTGTCTAGTGTTCCATCTTGATGTCCATGTGTACCCAATGTTTAGTTCCCACTCACAAATAAGAACATGCAGTATTTGCTTTGTTGTTCCTGCATTAGTTCACTTAGGATAATGCCCTTCAACTGCATTCAGGGATGTTGCAAAGAACATGATTCCTTTCTTTTTTATGGCTGCATAGTATTCCAAGGTGTGCATGTAACACATTTTCTTTATTCTGTCCATTAATCTGATGGGAACGTCTGTTGGTTTTATGTTTTTACTATTGTGAATAGTGTCTTTCTAGTAGAAGGATTTATTTTCCTTCAGGTATCCAGTAATGAGGTTGCTGTGTTGGATGATAGCTCAACTTTTACTTCTTTGAGAAATCTCCAAACCACTCTCCACAGTGACTGAACGAATCCACATTTCAAACAGTGTAGAAGCATTAGCTTTTCTCTGCAGCCCCAACAAGACCTGTTATTTTTTGACTTTTTAATGAAAGCCATTCTGACAATTGCTAGATGGTATCTTGTTGTGGTTTTAATTTGCATTTCTCTGATGATTAGTGACGATGAGCCTTTTCTTCAGAGGTTGGGAGGCTGTCTGCATGCCTTTCTGTGAGAAGTGTCTGTTCCCGTCCTTCCTCAGCTGATTTGTGTTCTGTTTGTTGATTTCGTTTTTTTTTTTTTTTTAATTTTTTATTGGATTTTAGGTTTTGGGGTACATGAGCAGAGCATGCAAGACAGTTGGGTAGGTACACACATGGCAGTGTGCTTTGCTTTGCTTCTCCCCTTCACCCACATTTTGCATTTCTCCCCAGGCTATCCCTCCCCACCTCCCCCTCCCACTGGCCCTCCCGTTTTCCCCCCAATAGACCCCAGTGTTTAGTACTCCCCTTTCTGTGTCCATGTGTTCTCATTTTTCATCACCCGCCTATGAGTGAGAATATGTGGTATTTCATTTTCTGTTCTTGTGTCAGTTTGCTGAGGATGATGTTCTCCAGATTCATCCATGTCCCTACAAATGACACAAACTCATCATTTCTGATTGCTGCATAATATTCCATGGTGTATATGTGCCACATTTTTCCAATCCAGTCTATCATTTGTTGATTTCTTTAAGATCCTTGTGGACTCTGGGTATTAAGCTTTTGTCAGATGCATAGTTTGTGAATACTTTCTCCCAGACTGTAAGTGTCTGTTTACTCTGTGGATACTTTATCTGGCTGCAAAGGAGCTCTTTAGTTTAATTAGGTCTCACTTGCCAATTTTTGTTTTCATGCAATTGCTTTGAGGACTTAGCCATAAATTCTTGGCCAAGACTGATGTTGAGAAGGGTCATTCTTAGGCTTTCTTCTAAGATGTTTACAGTTTGAGGCCTTATATTTAAGTCTTTAATACAGTCTGAGTTGATTTTTGTATATGGTGATATATAGGTGTCTCGTTTTATCTTTCTGCATATGTATAGCCAGTTCTCCCAGCACCAATGATTGAATAGGGAGTCCTTTTTCCATTGCTTATTTCTGTTGACCTTCCACCATATCAGATGGCGGAAGAGGTGTCGTTTGATTTCTGGGGTCTCTATTATGTTCTGTTCATCTATGTTTCTGTTTCTGTACCAGCATCATGTTTCGCTTAGTGTAGCCTTGTAGAATACTTTGATGTTGGATAATGTGATGTTTCCCGCTTTGTTCTTTTCGCTTAGGATTCCTTTAGCTAGTCAGGCTCTTTTTGTGTTTCATATAAATTTTAGTAGAGTTTTTTTATAAATCTGTGAAAAATGACATTGGTGGTTTGATAGGAAAAGCACCTAATTTGTAAATTGCCTTGAGCAGTACGGCTATTTGAACAATATTGATTCTTCCAACTTATGAGCATAAAATGCTTTTTTATTTATTGCTGTCATCTGTCGCTTCTTTCAGCAATGTTTTGCAGTTCTCCTTATAGCGATATTTCACTTACCTGGTTAGATATATTCCTAGGTCTTTTTTCTTTTTGTGGCTATTGTAAATGGGATTACATATTTGATGTGGCTTTCAGCTTGAACATTATTGGTGTATATAAATGCTACTATTTTTCGTACATTGATTTTGTATCCTGAAAATTTACTGAAGTTCTTTATCAGTTCTAGGAGGTTTTGGTGAAGTGTTTGGGGTTTTCATGGTATAGAATATCATCAGCAAATAGAGGTAGTTTGACGTTTTCTTCTCCTATTTGGATGTCATTTGTTTATCTCTCTTACCTGATTGCTCTGGCTAAGACTTCCAGTACCATGTTGAATTGGAGTGGTGAAAGCGGGCATCCTTGTCTTGTCCTGGTTGTCAAG